GCGGAATCAATCTGGGATCATTATTTTCATTCCAATGAAGCAAACAAATCGTTCAGATACTTCTTAGACTTACCGAAGTCGGTAATCGAAAAATACATACAGAAGGACATCAAACCTAGATTAGCAGATATATATAAAGGAATGGGAGTATATGAATTTCCATCATCTTCAATTGAAGATGGTACACATTTTCATTTCAACGGAGATATAGCTGCAGATACATACCACAAAACAGATGTAGATGTCAAACTGCTTAAGGAATTGGGTGTCAGTTTCCGATAAAACATTGAATAATTCCAATTTTCAATAATAATTATAATTTGTAATGAATAATAATTATGTAAGTATTTAAATATTATTTCAGGTTAAAGTTTATCGTTTTTCCATAAGTCCAAATAGAATCGTTCCAGTTATGCATGATCATACACCAGGAATAGCTGGTATAGCTTATTATAACAATTTAATTGACAAATTAATCGAAAATGGAATCACACCAATGGTAAGTATTTATGTAATTTTATCTAATCATAGTATTTTTATGTATATCAAAGCTAGGTTAGAAAAAAATATATTCCTAACCAATCGATATATTGTAGGTTCCAAATTTAACTAAACAATACTAATATGCAATAAAATATCGATTTAGGTATCATTATATCACTATGATATGCCGGAATGTTTCAACAAACTTGGAGGACTGGCTAATTCGGCTTGTTATAAATTTTATCTAACTTATGCGAGACTGTGTTTCAAAAATTTTGGAGACAGAGTAAGTTTACATACAAAAACTATAATATTACAATTTTTGTATCTTTATATATATATGCATATAATTAAATTATATTTTAGTGTTTTTTTATTTTTAAAAATAACTATAACCTATTAGGTAAAATATTGGACAACGTTTCAAGATGTTCATTTAGCTGCTGAAGGATATGGTTCCGAACATTTTGCTCCTGGTTATCAAGAATCGATATTTAGTGGATATTCAGATTATCTCGCGATACATCACTGTATTAATTCGCATGCAATGACTTATCAAATGTATAATGAAGAATTTAGAGAAGAACAAAAAGGTAGGCTTTTATAAACCAATCTATGTGTTTATTTATAATAAATATAGGAAATCAT